TCAAGGCCCCAGTGATATACAACGATCAGTACACATATGCACGCTGTATGAATTCTGAGAAATGGTAAGAGATTGTTTTCGTTCTTGCCAACGTCATCGAAATCAGCATTTTGCTGGTAAACCCATGATTCCACTTTTGATATTTATTATGTGTATCTACGGATCGCGATATAACCAAATTATATATTATATATAATTATGTTAAATCGAGATATAACAGGCTGTTGTTCGACCCAAAAAAAGTGGTGTGGTTTTAAAGGAGACTGTTATTCTTACTGACGATTTAGCAGACTAACACTTTACCAGTAAACCCGTAACAGTCAGCTAAATGTTTTGTTTAAACGAGTGATTGCGTGGATTTTTTTCAATTTTGTTCCTGGTATAATCCTTCGTCGCATAATTTATGGGCCCGCATATAGAAGAGATATGTGCCATTGTCAGAAGAATGAATAGTAAGAGCAAAAGAGCACTGTGAACAAAAGTAACCGTGATTAACTGTTGCCTAACACACTTTGTTTCTGACAACGGAACGTAAAATTTGATACCACCATAATAAGTCGCTTTTGATTCAATACGCTATTTATCATTTTCTGATAAACGTTCATATTTTTGTTTCTTCTTATCAGCCTGTTGACAACAGATATGCACTCTTTTGAACAACGTTTCTCTCTCAAAGCAACTATAATGCCTTAAGTTTACTGCGGCAAAAGTTTCGATTTTTGCAGGCTAGGTTTGGTCCATATCCTTTGTAACTGCACCTTCCTAATAATTTATTCTTCCATTTCCTCCTGTGATAAATTTCTTGGATTGAACAACCTTGACATAAGTGAATTTGAATTTTCAATTTGCTAGCAAATATATACGAGCCATTTAATCACGTCGCGACCGCATAATCATTATCAGCACCATTGAGCTTGCTACAGTAATCTCATGTTCATCACAAACGAAACCCAGAAGCCGCAATTCATTACATGATACCCGATGAGCAGTAATAATATGTCCATACAGCCCAGTACCTTTAAAGGTGCATAGCCAATCAGTCATTCAGTCAGTTTCGACGACCACTTATCCATTTGGGCTTCGGAAGCAGACGTTTCAGGCAGTGCTTCCGACGTTCCTGACCCTGCACCAGCGTTTCCACTTCGGCAAAGGTAAATTCAAGTCTAGAGCACAGCTTTTCGATTCTTGCCCCAAATTTCTTGACCGTCTCCGGAATCTTCGGCCGATCGGCTAGACAATTAGTAGTCGTTTCGCCTTCCCTTCTGAAAACATTTGCAACCCGTGCCAAAATCATCGCATCCGTTCTTTCCCAATCCAGAGAAATAACGGATATACATCACAGCTCTCTCGAACACCTATTTTCCGAACTATGAGAGATGCGGGAGCCCAGCGATTCGTACAAGAGAGCCCATTTCATTCGCTTGCATTCGGAATCAAAGTTTTAGTAAACAGCGTTTTCCATTTGATTCTCTGATTTCCTCTGCTACCAGTCTTCGCATGGCAAAACATCGTTTGCAGCTGAGGGTGCCAACATCAGGTGACAATAGGTCGACAGATCTACTCCTCATTTGACGCGCACGCCCAGTGTACAGCGCGTTAGTCAGAGAAGACGAATATCAAATTGATCATCGACTTCTTTGTACAAGCTTCCCGATGCGAAGTATAATGATGCACGCTTCTTTGCTTGAAGAAGGCATTTATAACAGGCAGTCCGTTCATGCCGTTATTGCTGAGTTTGCTAGGGCCGTTCTTTTCTTTCATGTTCGTTTCACTTTACAGTATCTGCTCCAGTATGAACATTGAAATCGTCCATTTGAATGATGGATTCCGAAATCGTGACTTTGTATAAAACATGTTCTACATCTTTCTGGACTGAGTCGTATTTCATATTCTCTCTCCAAATTTGGTCGTTGATCTATAGCATTTCAGAGCTTTAACCTTTTGTAATTTCAGCTAAACGACTACCGGATGACAGGCATATATCGGACGATCATGTCAGCCAGGTTAAGTTCTATCAAGAACACCAACATCGGCCTTAGAGCGTGCCGTGCTGTCGACACCTCAGTAGCACAGCTACAGCCCGCAGAGGTTCAGAATTCCGGATCCCTGGTGGTTTACGAGAGTCTAACTATATCCAGTTAATAATTTGAGGATTCAACAACTGGCTCGTGCGCTTTCCCTGTAGGTGAGAAACTGCTCTAACTTCCTGCTACAAGCATCGACTTTCCCCTGGAGCTTTGTCTGACATTTTATAATGGTATAGCGCTCTTCTCCTCCTCAGTTCAGAACGGGTCGAGACTCAATTGGTGAATGATATCGTCGACGTCTTTTTGGCAGCTGTTGACATGCTGCTACGCGTCCAGCTATCAGAAAGAGTACGTGATGCTGGTTGGCTGCCGATTTTTCGCAGTCTGCATCAGTTTCCAAACAGTCTGGCAGCCCTTGGTATTCCGAGCAACGGTCGAGAGGGCAAAAGTTTCAATAAGGGCAATACTATGAGGGTTGGGTGGTTAAGTTTTACTGGAGTCCTCTCCACCTTCCCCAACCGAACTCCTTGCTTATCAGCGCTTGTGGCGACAACGGTGAGGATCCGGCAAGGAATATACAACTTTTACTTAAGCTCTTTTGTTAGGCAGACACCTGTGGCGGAGTAGGACGGAGCCATTCAATTTATGGCCTTACCGCATAATCCGCCCACTCTCCAATGCGCGCTGATGCAATCTACTTTTTCCTGTCTCCGTGACGTGCCCGAGGTAGGTCACTAAGAGTCTTACGTGAAAATAGCTATTCTTTTCTCATCCCAAATATTTTACACGTGTCTGAAAGTACTAGTGGCAATTTTCCCATTTACTACGGCTGGATAGGATTTTACCACGGCAGATGACGGAGCAGAGATCCCTAAAGGGATAAACCGCGGTTAATCAGTGGCTTGCGAGTCAGATGTCCTGGGTGGGTTTCTGATGATCTTCAACTTCTGAGTGTTAAGGTAAAGGAGGACTTTCGCAGCTGAGTTCCTTACATGTCCTGCCAAGCGACAGAGCCCGTTTTCAAAATTACTTAGAAAGACAATACCATGTGTATACTCATTATCTAATCGGGTATTTTCAACTGCGTCCTCCATGATGTGCCTTTCACCATTACTACTGTTGGTACCGTTTCAGAGAAGAAAGTCAGGGAGGACAGGTTTGAACAGCAAAGGGAGAGCAAAACCTGTCTACCTGTCAGTAAGGAACTGTTGATGTAAATTTCTCGAGCACGAAAAGGACCCAAGAAGTTCGATATGCTGTGCAGTTGATGTTGTACAATTGAACATAATTAACATTACAACTATCACGTACGGTTCGAACAAATGACATGAAATTTGAATCAAAACAAATGCGGAAATGTTAGTGTCATGTGTTTCGAGCAACGACAAACTTTCGTTTCATTAATTATACTCATTGTGAACAAAGGCGTCTTGACTGTTTATCATAAATTCTTCATGAACGTTCCTACACTGTCAATGTGCTAAAAAGTATCATATAGCGCTTTCTTTTGTAACTTCCCACACAGCGAAGTTGCAGAGTTCAGATGCCTCCAGTCATGGAGCCGTGGTTAGAGGCGGATCGACTCTGCCGTGTAAATCCGGAAGACTGAGATGACATTGTTATTGCCACCGGTGGTTTCGCAAACATGAATTTTTCTAGTAAACCAGTAATAAAGTCTGTCTGTTTTAATTATTCAAGAAGTGTTCTTACTTTCATTTTTTCTTTACATAATTTTATCCAATTCCTTCTTGTTTTTCAGCTGCATGCATAGCGTGGCTAGCAAACGCTACGGCTGAATGTTCAGATTTTTGAGGCAGTTGACTGCCTCCGCAGGGCTGAGTAGAACACCAGTTACTGGTGAAAGTTGCGGAGTGGACATTCAGTAGTAAATCACACATGTTCCATTATGAAGGTTCACAGTAAAGCTTTCAGTTTTTAAGTTTCTTACAGTTAAATATCAAACGTTAGGAACACTGAACGCTGAATGGGAAGGCCATTCAATTGGTTCATTAGTGTACATTTCCAAAAGCTAACAGTAAGAAATACTTAAACTTTGGCACTTTATAGGCTTGGCAACAATATGGATTCATTGTGTTAATGGAACGATTCACCTGCATCTTCGTTTGTTTGTCTTCGGTTCCATTGAAATGGATTTAGTCGTTTGTTCACTCGAACATTTAGCTCCCTGCCGACCGGATGTGCCTCGTAGTCGAACAGAAATTCACGTCACCCTGTCGCGAGTTATTCACGTCACTGATTGACGAACAGCAGAGCTGCTTGAAGCCGATTCCGCGTGGGACGAAGAAAAAGCAACGAAATTTTGGCACCTCCTTGCAAGCGGGCCGAAATCTGGGGCTTTGTCACACCTCGCCAAAATGCGAAGAATTGGTTCACTGTGAAATGGTTGTTGCCGAACTCATTGCATTGCTGCTACTCCGCCCAGTGTGCAGCAAACAATGCAGTCGTGACGATGAAATTATCCTATGGAAAACCCACCGTCAATGCCAAAGCAAAGAAAGATGTCACCTTTAACAAAAACAA